TTAGGGTGCTGAATATGCAAGTTCTTTTAATCTATTTTTTTCTGCTGTTTGAATTTGATGGACTTTTTTTTTCTTCAACGTATCTATTTAAGTACTGACTGTAACATAGACCCTGTTAAAAAAATCTATATATGAATTAGCTATATAGCATTAGAAAACATTGTGATTACTGAACTTATATCTCTTCTGCTCATGTATTACAAAACTAAATTAATAACAACTGATCTTTAATTAAAAGCTCATAGCAAAGGTATTTTCCAACAACAGCTAAAAGCACTGTTTAGGAGCTACAATGAGGTGCATACCTAATATAAAGCACACCTCTGTAATAGCATAAAAATATACACCTTCCTACACAAACATACCTCATTAATTACAAGAATTACATGTAGCATCTGTCAGCATTGGTGCTGAACAAGTTGTGCTCCAATTTCCCAATGACTTCACAACGTCAAACTGATGCAGATCAAGTAATTATCTTGCAAACTACAACTTGTGCGATCTGTTTAATAGATGCTTTAACACTAAATTATCTGTGAAAGCAAGAAAACAGTAGGAATTCTGTAGATATAATGATCAGGCTGCCATGCCATATTTTTAAAGCAAAGTGACTTCCTCTAAGAAACATAAAACACAGCTTTATCATTGTGTGAAGTAGAACAAAAAACACTAATGCTTTTTTTGATACTGCAGATATGGATCTTGCCTGAGTTTGAAGAGAAGTTTTGTACATTCTTGGATCTCACCTGGTCTCCAGTGGTATGTTGCTGTTTAAGACCCAGCTGTTATGCAGGTGTACAGAATCTTGAGTACTTGTGGGTGGGTTGGAAACAGCTGGACTTGGCTGACTGCGAGATGTCATAGAACTTCTCTGGAGAGTATCCAGTGTCTGTGAAGTCTGCCGGCTGCAGGTGCAAGCATGTGGTGGTGGCGGCGGAGGAGGTAGGGGCCTGAATGTAAACTGGTTTCTTGGGCTTCCGGGAATCTCTGAAACATAAAGCACAAAGCAGAGACAAATTATTAACTATATCTAAAAATTCAAGTATAAAGAGAGACAGTTGAGGCAAGATTTACTATTAATACACACAATCATTGCTTCATAAGTCTTTATAATATTTTGGTCTCAAGATGTTTTTTTGATTTTCAGTTTAAAGAACAGGAGACACAAGCAAAACCATGCGGTATACACAAATTATTATTCAAATGTACTAACATGTAAATGAGACGCATCTCATAAAAAGGTCTAATTAAGTCAACCTAATTGAAAATAAAGCACCCATATGGCCATGGCCATTGCTAAAAATGAAGTTGGAAGTGAGGAAACTCTAAAAGTTGTGACCAAATCAAATAGAGTGGATCATGAACTAATCACACTGACTGCAAAAAATGGTAAGAGTATAAACACACAAATATATACACACACATTCACACACGCACACTACTAGATAATTAGATACAGCATGTGTATACATAACTTCAAAAATATGATAATCGTAATACACTTAAGGGTCTATTTATAAAATGTTCACAGAGCAAATGTCTCTGCAAATGAGATTCACAGCACATTAAGGCCACTAGATGGAGCCGAGGAGCATAGGAAATCCTATGCTTCTCAGCTTCATCTAATGGCCATAATGTGCTGTGAATCTCATTTGCAGGGTTGTTTGCATTGCAAACGTTTTATAAATAGACACCTTTAAGTATATCTAAATCAAAAACTTTAGCTTGGATTGTGTAGGGAAGGGTTAAAACACTGTTAGGTGTATGTAAATGGTACTTTCCTATTAGTACTCCACAGTTTTATGGGCCAGGTCTGACTGAGAGGCTAACTGAGCTAATCTTAACTACGTCAGGACCGCCCATCGTCAAAAAATGTCCTGTCCTGAAGTAGTTATACCAAGAACAGCATCCGTGTTCTTTGTATCATTTTAAACAATAAGTGTTGTATACCGAAGAAACTGCTACAGACAGCAAGTGGTTAACAGTTTTTGAGAAGAGAATGCCAATCAAATTCCCAAATGTATACTTGCTGAAAATACGGTAGGTTTTTTTTCAACATACTTTCAGTTCAAAGCTCAAAACACTTGCAACCAGTGTGCCAAAACTAAGCATAGTGCATGGATAGAAATTCTCTAATGAAACAGATGTTAACAGAATCCTGAACCCTAGCATATTTTATTATATCTTGATATGGAAGCAACACACTCGATCTGTTGTTCCAAGCAAAACAGCAACTGATTATCTTCAAAAGCTGCCCCCACAGACACAGTCTTTTGAATGCCCAGTTTGGTTGTTGTAGAACAAACTGGCCCCTAATCATTAAAAGTTGGCTAAAAATATTTTAGACCAACATTTGAGTGGGACAGATCAGATCATTACTACTACTGTTAGATAATGATATGTAAAATGCTTATCAACAAAAACACAGAGCCGATTTCTGCTCTATAATGGATCTTACATCCTGTTAGTATCACTGGCACGCATGAACACAAAGGGACCAATTAAGTTTTAAGCCAATTAACTATGAACTATGTTTTAGGACAGTGGAGGAGAAGGACAGTGGGAGAAGTGCCTGGAGGAAACAATTGGAGGGAAAGAAAATTCTAATTCTGCGCAGGCATATCCAGGATCGGAGCAAACTTAAAGTGACATTAAACCCTCAGATTTTTTAACATAAAACAATACTGTAATGTGTGCCTTACTGTAATCCATGGTTGTTTCCCTTCTCGTTGCTGCTCTTCCTTTTAAATCTGTATCTGTTATCATGCTGGGCAGACTGCCTTGTCTCTGAAATGGATACATGGTGTCTGTGTGTAGGTTTGCAAACTGAGCCAGCACTACAGGAAGAGGCACTCAGCTGCAAAGGGAAGTTTTCCCCCAGCATGAGAAGACATGAGAATTTAAAATGAAGAGCAGCAAAGAGAAGGGAAACAACCATGGATTACAGTAAGGTACACATTACAGTATTGTTTTATGTTAAAAAATCTGAGGGTTTAATGTCGCTTTAA